CGAGTTTGTATATCAAAGGGACTGTAGAAGTTGTTTCTGAAGCGCGCCAGCCGTGCGATTCTGACTGAGGTTCAAAATGCCTTTATGTTTCTGATACAATCTTCTGTTGATTGAGCGACAAGGAACAACTTGTTTTCAATTTATTCAGGTGAAAATTAAAGCTGATAAAAAATATGCAACGATTCGTGCGAGTTTCGCTGCTCCAATCGAGAAACTGACTCATAGTTTGGACTTTCCGCGCCCATCGCCGCGTAACGCCCACACCATCGCCGCGTAACGCCCACACTGAAAATTTCTTGCACTATCGCCAGACGGTGCGTCGCGCGCGACAGCGTAGCAAATTACGATTCTCTTGCCCGCTTTCCCCATGACACGACCCAGCGCCCGTAGCGAGCAATACTGTAGATTGTCCTTGAGTCCAAAAACGTGACATCTTACAGCGCACACCATAAAAATGGCTGGTCAGCTGGGCATGCAGGTCGGAAAATGACTTGAAAACAAACCTTTATTGATCACTTGACTTTCATGCTTAGCCAGTTGTTCATGGTACTCAAATCCAGCAGCGCTGCGATCCTGCCTATCAGTTTGCACTCCAAACTGGCCTCCAAATCCTTTCTTATAATCTGGAAATAGAAGCTTTTATGAATCAGTTCCCAGAATAGGAGAAACGCCCATACCCGTCTGGCTTTCATGTTTCTGGAGACCTTCGTGAACATCGTAACCAACAGCTGCTTTATCCTGTCTGTCCGTCTGAACTCCGAATTTGCCACCAAATCCTTTTTTATAATCTGAAAATATAACGCGCTTATCGGTGTCCCTGATAAGAAGACGGTAAAGAGCGGACCAGTTTGACTGGCATGTTTCGGAACTTCCTCTTTTGTGTCCCAACCCACTGCCGAAGCATCCTGACGGTCTTTTTGAACGCCAAACTTGCCTCCAAATCCTTTTTTGTAGTCTGTAAGTAGACTGTATAAGCGATGTTATACTTCTACCTTGACTATTTTCCCTTAAGGTTAGTACTAATCATTCTTCGCTTCCTCCCACCCGAATCTTGTATGTACTTCTCCGATGAGAACTGATTAGCGCTTGCAGAAAACGGACCATTTCGGTCCCCACTTTTTCAGAGTCCTGTTTATTTTCTGTAGGGACCGCAAGGGGATCCTCCTCATCCATATTTCATATTTTCTCAAACCATTTCCGCCTCATCCTTCCTATTGTGTTCTTCCCTAGCGCTTCACTTTCCATAGCTGCCGGAGGCTATGTAGTGAAAAGTGGTTCAGCTTACCAGCAGCACGACCTGGGTATCGAACTTCCCCTTTTTATTTGCCGGGACCAGTCAAGTGTTCCATACCTCGCGGCCAGTTAATTGCTGCAGGTTTGTCTGATAGGGCAAGAACACTGAACTGGCCGCTGGCTTCCACAATTGACTGTTAAGGCTACATCGCATTCAATGCGCAACTGCGATCCTGAATGGAAAAAGAAGACGTGGCGCATCCCAGTGGCAATGGTCATCGCCAAAAGCTTTACACTTCCTCTTATTCTGCCTCTTACTGCACCACGCTCAGAACGTCAGTCTCTTCAGATCTGACAGCAGCTATGACGATGCCAAGGCGAAGGTAATATGGTTCTGCCTCGTACCAGGCGTCTGGCACGGTTATCACGCGCCTGGTCCAGGTCAAATCCCGGAGCGGCTCCCGCTCAGGCCAGCCAAGCCTTCCACCCCCCGGAAACGGTAAACAGATTCGTCTGGGGGGATTAAAACTCTGACTTGTACATCGGCTGGCCCCGCAAGTCACTGTATAGGCCCTATCGCATTCAGTAAGTTACTGCGATTCTGAGTGGAAGTAAAACGCGTGCCGCATTCCAAAAAGGAAGATCGACAGCGACAGAAAGACTCTATCGTTCATCCTTTTATAGCGGTCCCACTAAAAGCTTCAAACCCATGCCTGGCCTCGTCCCCTATCTGAACC